GCACGAAGTGCATGGAAGAGGCACTAGATGGCCGCGGAAGTTCCGTAGACTTCAGCCTTTGGCCACCGACACTCGCGCGGCAGACCCCGCCTCCCTCGCAGGAAACTCCGCACAACTGCCACCCTCTAGACGCCTCTTTTCATGCACGAAGTGCATGGAAGGGGCACTAGATGGCCGCGGAACCTCCGTAGACTTCAGCCTTCAGTGACCAAGGTTTTTGAGAGGATATTTTGCAAACGAATCTACAGGTATCTTGGAAATAACCAATTGATGCATGCAGCTTAATATGGATTCCCAAAAAGATCTACTTGACGGCTCTCACATGGACAGTACCCGTGTGGAAAAAATAGATAGGAAAGTATTAGTTACTGTATGCTACATGGATTACACGAAATCCTTTGATTCTGCTTCTTCAAATCTGCTTTTTGCCGTACTAAAAGCATATGGAATAGAAGGTTGCCTTCTAAAATTTTTAAGGTCTTTTTGCTTAACACTCAGCAAATTCTGATCAATAAATCCTTTTCCTCTTCCTATCAAACAAGCAGTGGTGTTCCTCAAGGAACCTGCTTGGAGCATTCCTATTTCCCACTTTGTATAAACGATTTACCATTACGTTTACCCAATAATATCTTCTGTTCCATCTATGCCGATGATACCAAATTCTCCTGCTACAATGCACCCAAATTGATGCAAAAGACTTTAAATGCGGTGAAGGATTGTTCAGCGAAATGGGAGCTAGATATCTCGGTAGAAAATATACGAGTTATGTTTGATGGAGCGAAACATCCCCGATTTCACGACTTTTACTTGAAAACCACCAAGTTCGCGTGTGAAACCTCACTAAAGATTTCGGTGTCACCTATTCTGATAACCACAACTTCGACTATTATATAGAAAGAGCTTGCTAGAACGGCTTATGCTAGATAATTATAGATTGCATGAACTTCGAATTACAAAAATTGAGACTCTTTTCCTCCTCTTCTCTACCTACGTTCGACCATTGCTAGAGCACTGCACTCCTACATGGTCCTACGAAGAAAATGATCAACACTGGAAAGAGTACAGAAATTGTATAGGGAACCTCCAGACTGCGCCGGTTGCGCTTTTGCAGCCGATAGCCGCTTTCGCGCCGGTTGCAGCTATTGCAGCCGAAGCGTACTAGGTCATGTTTTCTCTATGGGACGGAGAATTCTTCGCACTGAGGATAATTTCACGAGTTTTCAGCTCTTTCGTACCTAATGCTGCTTTTCAAGGTTCCCTTCTATTTTGTAGTGAATAAAACCCTTGTAGATGTGGTTAATTTGACCTGGCTTTGTAGTAAGGTTGCCAAGGTAGTTCTAAGCAAGGTTTTGACGATATCTTTGATGCATACGTGCCTCGTTTTGTCGATTTCTTTGACTCAGTAAAAAAAA